TGGAAAGGATAATTTTTCACAAATCCGGAGGAAGGCTCGTTTTGAGCGGTGATGGCCCAGAAGGTTAAATTCTGCTCGGCGTACGCATCGAGAAATCTGGGCCAAGGGAAACAAGACACCGTGGTTCACATTTAAACCGGCAAGAACGATCTGATATCAGCTCTTGGGTGTTAACCATCCAAAATCTTTTTTTTTTTTTAAATTTAAAAAAAGCCATGCAGACTTTGCAGGCTGAAATATACCTTCCGCTGCCAGCAGAGGGTGCTGTTCCCCCCAAAACGAAGGCATTTGTCTGCCCGTTTTACCTGACGAAATAAGAAGCCCAAGTTTTGTGGAAGGCATCGCCCGCTTGCCCTTTCAGCCAGCCCTTCCCTTTCCAGTCCTCGTTGCTTTTCATCCAAATTGGAGCAGTCCACGGGCTGGCCATAAGGGAGATGGGTCTCTTCGACATAGCCTTGGCCCGATGCACAATGGGGATCTGTGGGGAGAAAGTGTAGGGAGGAGAGGTCAACGAGGACCAGCGATGGCCGCCCAGGGTCCGGAGGAAGATCCAGATGCTCTTCGGAAAAATGACAAAGTGGGATTTGGGACTGGGGGTGGGTGGGTGGGGAGGAATGGGATGGCTTTGTTCCAATTCTCCAAGCAAAAACAGTCAGAGAACCCCCCCCCCAAACCAGTTCTTTTTCAGGAAAGCAAACAAACAAAAAAGGTGGTTTTCCCATGAAATGCAACATGGCCAGAAATAAAATCATTACACCGAACTCAAAAAAGATGTTGTTTTTTTTACTTATCCTGGCCACATCTGTCTAGTAGGAAAACAGAAGAAAGAGGGAGAGAGGGAGGGAGGGAGAGAAGAAGGGAGGGGGGAGAGGAAAGGGAATGATAGATTGATAGAGAGAGAAGAGAGAGAGAGAGAGAGAGAGAGAGAGATGATAAATGGTGGATAAAGAGAGAGATTAAGATAGGATAGATAGATGATAGATAGATAGATAGATAGATAGATAGATAGATAGATAGATAGATAGATAGATAGATAGATAGATAGATAGATAGATAGATATAGATAATAGATGAGAATGGTAGAAAAGATAGACAGCAGAGAATGATAGGATAGATAGATAGATAGACAGACAGACAGACAGACAGACAGACAGACAGATATAGATGAGAATGGTAGAAAAAATAGACAGCAGAGAATAATAAGATAGATAGATAGATAGATAGATAGATAGATAGATAGATAGATAGATAGATAGATAGATAGATAGATAGATAGATAGATAGATAGTTGATAAACAAAGATGGATGATGGATGGATGAATGGAGACACATTCAGACAGATAAATGATAGGTGATTGATAGATAAACAAACAAAAGATAATAGATAGTGGATGGATGGATAGAGACAGAGTCTACGTTGCCACTTCTGCCTCCATTCCCGAGTCCTCTTCTCGGTGGAAGCCCCCACCAAGAGCCCCTAAAATCCAGGCCCCCATTGAGTCCCCCCCCTTCCTCTGCCAGCTCCCCCCCCCCTTTTGGATAAAACTTACTTTCATTAGTAGGTCTTCTGCAACCAGGCTGAAATTCTTCAGCTCGTAGTCGTACGGAAAATCGTCATACGTGTACGGCCGGATAGAGAAATCACAGCTGGCCATTGGCATGCGCACAAGATTGTATTCGATCCCTGTGGGGTGTAAGAGGCAGACAATCAGTGTGTGTGTGTGGGGGGGGAGATGTCGAGGACCCCCTGTAGAAACACGGGAGGGACCTGTGCTAATTGGCACCCCCAAAAAAGGCAATCTCACGTGCCTAGTTCTCAGGAAGTCTGAACCACGTAACTTTCTTTGATTAAGACAACGCGGTAATTCTGTCTTAAAGACAGAAACAAAAGAAGGACAGGAAAGTAATTTGCAGTTTGTTAATTATGAACGTTTGTGCTGACATCACCTATTCTTCATGCATCTGCGGGACTGCATCACGTTCTGACATAGACTCCCCATTATGAAAAAGAGACAGGTTGCCCTCCACCCTTTGAAATTAAAAATAATAAGAGGAGAAAATGGACTGCAGTTTTGACACATTGAATGGCTTGCATGTAGAATTCTTGTCATAAATTCTTGTTCCTGCAATACAATCCAGTCTCTCTCTCTCTCTCTCCCCCTCTCTGTCTATCTATCCATCCATCATCTATTATCTTTTGTTTGTTTGTCAATCACCTATCATTTATCTGTCTGAATGTGTCTCCATCCATCCATCCATCCATCCATCACCTATCATCCATGTTTGTCTATCAATCATCTATCATCTATCTATCTGAATGGGTATCTATCTATCTATCTATCTATCTATCTATCTATCTATCTATCTAGATAGATAGATAGATAGATAGAAAGATAGATAGATAGATAGATAGATAGATAGATAGATAGATATCATCTCTTTCTATTTACCTATCTATCTATTATCATGTCTATCTGTCTATCTGTCTATCTATTTATCTATCTCTATCCATCCATCCATCCATCATCTATTATCTTTTTTTTGTTTGTCTATCAATCATCTATCATTTATCTGTCTGAACGTGTCTCCATTCATGCATCCATCTATCATCCATCTTTGTCTATCAATCATCTATCATCTGTCTGTCTGAATGGGTCTCTATCTATCTATCTATCTATCTATCTATCTATCTATCTATCTATCTATCTATCATCTATCTATCTATCTATCTATCTCCTCTCATCTGTCTGTCTGTCTATCCTTCTCTATCTATCTATCTATCTATCTATCTATCTATCTATCTATCTATCTATCTATCTATCTATCTATCTATCTATCTATCTATCATCTATCTATCTATCTATCTATCTATCTATCTATCTATCTATCTATCTATCTATCTCCTCTCATCTGTCTGTCTATCTATCCTTCTTTATCTATCTATCTATCTATCTATCTATCTATCTATCTATCTATCTATCTATCTATCTCCTCTCATCTGTCTGTCTGTCTATCTATCCTTCTTATCTATCTATCTATCTATCTATCTATCTATCTATCTATCTATCTATCTATCTATCTATCTATCTATCTATCTATCTATCTCCTCTCATCTGTCTGTCTGTCTATCCTTCTTTATCTATCTATCTATCTATCTATCTATCTATCTATCCATCCATCCATCCATCCATCCATCCATCCATCCATCCTCCATCCATCCCACTCATCTGAGTTCTCCTTCCTGCATGTCCAATCCAGGCCGTAAGGAAGGAAGCTGGATTCTTCCATTGTTGATAAACAGAATAAAGTAATTTATCTAGCCTATTTGTTACACATCCATCATTAAGCAACTTGTTTTTCAGCCCCATCAATGATGCTGAGAATTTTAATTTTCAGGAGCCAGCCTGTCTTGGTTTTTTTTCTCCTCCCTCCCCGTTTGTTTCCTCTGTTTATGTTCTCCAATGGGAAGATCAAAGCTGAAAACAGTTTCACTTAGTCACATTCCCACATTGTTCCTGGAGCTAGGTCTATTTCTCCAGCTAAAAATGGTTCCCGGAGCTAGGATCATTTCTCCAGCTCAAATGTGGAGTTCCAATGCACAAACGTGTGTCCACCTTAACTTCCTTCTAAACCAGGGGTAGGCAACCTTGGCTCTTTTATGACTCGTGGATTCCCAGAATTCC